CAGCCCGCTGAGCGGTGGGAGCTTCCTGTCGTGCTCTGTCGCCCTTTGCTGGCTCGTGGTCGGGAGCAGGAATCACCTGCCGGGGCTGCGGGCGAAGGCGGAGCCCGGAGCAAGCGGCAGATGCCGCGGGAAGCGGGGGACGAGCACGTGGGGGACGGGGGCGCCTCGGCCCTGGCGGAGCAGGAAGGCGAGGCAGCTCGAGCGGACCGGCGCCGAGCACCCCGAGGAGGAGGAGGAGGAGGGGGGATGTCGCCTTCTTCCTGCAGCGAGCGAGTTCGGTCTCTGATGCATAAAGGCAGTTGTCTTCAGTCTCGGCTTTTTCCTCCGCCGCGACACTGAAGCGATCCTCTTGGCACGCTTCTGCGAGCAACCGTGCCCGAGAAGGGCCTCGGGCTCAGCTGACGCGGGAGGAAAGCTGCTTTTCATCGCGCCTACCGATTGCGGTCGGCTGGAAAGCCAGTAGGACGGAACGGAGTTACGTTTACCTTCAAAATAAAACCCAAAGGGGGGGGGGAAGAAAAAACAAACAAAAAACACCGCTAGCATGGCGCTTGGCCAAAAATTTGCTAATAAGGAACTGCATTTTTGTTGTTTGTACAGAGGCCTTGTACTGCTAGTGGAAGACCTAGGCGCGCTAGAATAATCAAAGCATTGATGTTTTGCTCTTAGGAGAGAGGGTTTGGTGGCCTTCATGAAGGCCTGTAAGTAAGGCAAACCTTCAGGCTTGCAAACCACTTAGTGCTCTGTGCCCAGGGTTCACACCACCAAGTATGTTTATTCAGCCCTTTGCAGCATACCTACCTAAGGCACAGCTCAGTGAATTTTCTTTCATGTCCTATAGGTGAATTTATGACCATCGACATACACCCACTTACACAGCGGGACTGTCATAAGCAAACATCCCTTTATCTAAAGTAGCTGAACTATGAAGTTATTTTCAGTGTGACTGAAATAGTGCAGTAAATACAGCTTTTGAGTAAGGTCCGCTAAATAGGATAGCTAGATGCCGTTTACACTCTTTTGCAGAGCAGAACTTTCTCCAGTGTGTAAAAAATGATTCCTCTTGGGCTCTGAGCTGTCTCGGCTCCCCCTTCTCCCCCACCCCCGGCATCATTTCTGCTCTTCATCACAGAGAGAAAAATGAGATCCTGTCCAGAAAGTAAACCAAAGAAAACACTTTCTATTGATAGTGAATAAAGGTCTTTCAGAAGAACAGGGAGGTGTAAATGTTACCACTTCTCTTGAATCATTTCCCTAAACAGACACCCACCCCAAAATCCAATTGGGAAAGAAAAGGAAAGGGTGGGAAAAGTAACAAGGAAGGAAAGAGAGGTACAGAAGATAGGAAGAAACAAAAGGAAAAATACACAGAGTTTCTAAAACTAGAAAGAAAATAGATCCAGAGAAAATGTCAAAGTATTGCTTTACGATGTTTAATTCTGCAGGCAAATATTGTGACATAATTTTATAAACTACATTTTCTCTAGTGTTAAAGATGCCAGTCTTTCTGAAGTTGCGTGGCTTCACAGGACAAGATTACATATGGGATATATTTTACCTCACAAGCTTCCTTCATTCTACTTCATAGCAATGCTATACAAGATAACGTGTTTTACTTCCTGTGCAGGAATGTTTTACTTATGAGACTGGAGTCAAATATGAGGTAAAGTGAATAAGCGTAACCCATCAGCTGGGTTTTTGTACACTGTAGATGGCTCAGAGACCTTAGTGACCACTTTTCTTTTTTCTTTTTTTTTTTTTAAGAACAGTTGACCATGTATTGTTCCAAAGTGGCTAGGCTGATGGTCAAGGACGTATTTCACATCAGATAATATGTTAGTTTTAAGTACTTCTGACATGAACCTAACCAGTAACCCATGAGTAAGATTCATTCATCCTCACAAATTAAAACAAGATAGAAAAGACAGGGAAAAATGGTTTTGCTGCCAAATACATGCAAGACTGCTATATCTCTACATAACAATTCTAGAAAGGTGTTCTGTGCAAATTCCCAATTTTTTGAGCGAGCACTCAACAAATTAATTTGTCCTATGTTTCTGTTCACATCTCTTCTCCTTAAACCATGCTTCCATGTCTTTAAAATCTGGAAGCTGCCTCAACTCTAGTCAGTATTATCAACATACATCTCATAGTAGTTTCCAAATTTAAAAGTACCACCACCAAAGAAAACCACTGCTAACATGATCCGGCAGCAACACTTTCTGAGGCATAGGTGGCAGTGTTCAGCTGCTTGGGTAATGCCTTTTAAACTAAAAGCCTCTCTTTCCCCCCATCTTCTTAATGGGAAAGGGCAAGTAACTCTACATGGTTCTGTCTTCCTGCAAACGGTTGGTATTTAACTGTCTATTGAGTCGCATAACTTCAAACAGATTTCCTGCATCTGAAAGTATTTTCTCTTCACAGGCCATGATCAGAAAACCTACTGTTTCCTCAGCTATTTAGTTTGGACTATGTTAGCCCCAAATTAACAGTTGTTACAAATGCCTTGGTCTCTTTTGAGCTATTCTCAAGATATTTTCTTGCCTCCCAGTATTCTATGTCCAAGTCTAGGAAAAGTATATAAATTTTACTTCATTTGATTTAAGTTTTTCTGGGCTTCTCTTAAGTGAGGAAGGCCAATGAGATGCTGCATCAGATAGATACATCAATTACATCAAATATACTGTAGTCCCACCCATCAACAAGATTCTGCCCAATATACAGGGTTTAAATCTGTGACTCTTTAAAAAAGTATTTGAAAAATCATAACTATTTTCTGGGGAAAAAACACACAAAACGCAATATATGTCGATGCATGGGTTCATTTACATTCACACCGTCATGGACAGTTTTACAAGAGCTGTAATTTAGGACGGGAGTTCAAATGGATGTACATAAATTGTAGCAGACAAGCCTCTAAATAAACTTTCAAGTAGTTTTTCACTACACCTTACTTCACCTCTAGGTCACATAGGGGCATCTGATGTAGCTGTCAAATCACATGTCTGAATATCATATATATATATTCCATTTTATTTGTCAAAACAAATTTTCAGAAATACTCCTCTCCATTATAGAATGACTTGCAGTATTGCAGGCTGCAACCAAACACATGATTTTTTGAAGTGAGCACTAAACCTGATAACACAGAATAGTAATTTCTTTTAATCAGAGCTCCCTTAACAATATACCTCTTTAGATCGAGATAAAAGCAATTGCTGAGTGTGCTGGTTTTGCCTTTTCCAGCTTGGACTGCCTGCAGTAAGACTGCTACAATAACAGTCACTTTCCTCAAGGCAATCCTAATGCAGGAACACTCCCACCCGTCCCCCCAGCTGCTAAGCAAAGAGTAAACTCTTAGCTTAGCCCCTCCTTTATTGGAAGGGGAATAGGGTAATATGCTGTAATTGGTTTTCCATGTTTGCCAAGAGTCTGTTTCCTCTTATCATCCACAATATTTAACATAGGCCTTGTAATAGTTCCAAAAATAATAAAATCTATCCCAAGAAAAAAAATAATAGATCCACAACATGCTGCTTTTTTGTCATGGTCTTGGTTTTGTAACATTCTGTTAGTAGCTTTTATTGCCTAATGTTGTGGTTTCTTTCATACGCAGCAGACCCAGTAAAGACATTTCATCAGCTACTTATACAGCAGCAGCCTGGATTATTTACAAATGGAAATTTCAATGCCATAATAAAATAAATCACTGCTATACACTGTTAAAGTTACATTGTAGTAACATAGCAGAAAAAAATAGAAGACACTAGGGGGAGGAATTTTAAGAATACACAAATCTTCAGCATGATGCCACCAAAAAAATTTATCAAGATATCTGAGACTTGTGGGTTGTCTTTCTCCTTTATCTCTTCCCATGCAGTAGTGGAAGGGGAATAGAAAGCTTATATCCACATGCACAACCAAAACAGTGCACATGTAATAGGGAAGCAGAGCCCATGCAATACTTTCCTCATGATTTTAATCATAAACCA